AGCTAACTCCTCTGCTGAAGTCCAGTTTACTTACAGGGTGGAATCTGACTTGTTTATAGCTAAACACAGTGACTAGTTAGGACAGGAAACAGCACTAGATCCAAATGAAAGGGCAAAAAGACTTCACTTCAGCAGCACACAGATTACTACTGTGCCTGATCACTTGGCTCTTCCCCATTAGTTGGTAGTACCATCAGCTGAATCTTAAACACTTCCCCATGCACACCTGAATGCATTATACAAACACCCTAGACAGGACTGTAATTTATTACAATACAATTAAAGTATCCTGCTGGAAGAAAAGGATTTGTTTCCCCTCTTGCATACAGCCCGCTCTAGGCCCTAGTGAGACAAAGGTCAGTGAGGTAGGAGATAACAACTGGTAAAATCACTGTGTGACTTACTGGCAGAAAAGAGCACACATTACATTTATCCCTCAAATTCACAAGAAAGAACAAATTAACAATTTGTCCAATACTCTGGTATAAATTCTTGCTTCCCTACATTTTTGATTCCAAGCTGCAAAAAGCAACACCTTCTCAAACCAAGGACAAAAAGTTTTGGTAATCTTTCCAGTTTGTTTAGCTTCCAATGGAATATATGTTTTCATTATGCATGTTCTCTCTCTCCTGCCTTTACATAACACAATTTAGTTCATCCTGTCCACTGTCATCTTTTTTGAGGTGCCTTTAAGAATTTACCTTTTTTTCCAAAAGAGGAAATAATAATTTGTTGATAGCTCTTTCCCATAGATAGGACAGCCTCATGAAAGCCCAGCAATCCTCACCTGAAATCTCCTGCTGTGAACTTTGCCTCAGCAAGTGAAAAGGCAGCTTCTCTCATCACCTCACCCATCAGCATCTTAGTCTGTTAAAAAAAAAAAAAAAAAAGGCAACAAATACAAGGCACATTGTTACTACTTTTCCAGGATAAAAACCTAGCAGCTTAAATAGAAGAAATTGAAGAGAGTGAGAAAGTCCTATATGCATAGCTTACTCTCAAACTGGAAATTTTAATTCTCAGGTGACTGGCAAAAAAAGAAATATTTCAGCTGTTTCACATTGTAGAATTCATAGAAAAAGCAAAATATTTGTCTTACTCATTAAATTCTATTACATGGGGGTTAAATAAGAACAATAATAAAGTGGCTCAGTAGGAAAATATTCTTGTTTCACATTGCATGGAATACTATGAGACAGCTGAAGTTGGTTTTCAGCATACAAATGTATACAGCTTTGTGAAGCTGCACTCTTCTCCCACTCTGTTTTTTCCCAATTTTTACAGACTTTTAGCCCTTGTAGCTAAAAACTATTGAGAAACACCAGCCTTCGTGTTTTAGACAATGTATAGGAAGCAATGACATGATGAGAGCCTGTCTACAATGTGGCAACAAAGGACCACAGCTAACCACGGACTCTGCAGCAGCTGCAGCAAAAACAGTACAACTAAACCCATCTGATAGGGCAGAACAGAACAACACAGAGTAGTCTCCACTACTATCTCAGATTTGTCATCCATGTTACAGAGCAAGAAACAAGATGTTACAAAGAATAAACTTTACAGATATGCAGTATTCCCTCAAGCCAGAAAAAAACAATAAAAATGGGGATACAGAACATTTTAATACCCAAAGTATTTGGCAGTATCAGATCAAATTCCCTGTAACATAGAAGAGATGATCGGGAACTTGCAACACAAAAGAGAGCAGAGGCTAAGACTGTCTGGAAAGAGGGGAAGAATATTAACTCTTCCAAGTTTCTGTATCATTGCAGCCAAAGAAACATAATGCTGCTCATGTGTTCTCAGTAGTCTCACTTACAAAAAACAGGTTAGCCAGAAAGTCATCCTATATTCCAGCCTATCTAATGAAGTTAGGAGAATAGGAATGTACAACAGACAGAATATTAAAGTGAGCCAAACAAAGGAAAATTCTAATTTACCTACCTCAATAATTTTCTTAAGGATCTGTCTGAATCGAAGCGTCAAAGCATCAGATTTTTTCTTCAAGAGGTTACGACCTGTTTGGGCTCCTTTCAAACGAGCCTTCATGATGGTCTGAGCCCTGGTAAGCAGAGGAATAAAGAAAAAACATCCTTCATCATCTGAAGGGATTAGGAAAAATCTTAGGTGAAGTTTTCTGACATGCATATGACTGAAATTATGAAGTAACCATGAAACACCATTGCAGTAAAACAAGATGGCCGCTTCAGGACAGAATTTTAGATTCCCATTTAAAACCAAGGGAATTTATATTTATCTCCATCATCAATGAGAACTACAAGGTTATTATCTGTGAAGTCAAAGCTCACGGAAAATTGACAAGACATCTTTCAGTGCTTCTATAATAGGAAATAAGAGTTTTCATTTTTCTTTCTGACTTGGAAGTACCAGAAATCAAACTACTCCAAATACCCAGTGTCGCAGTGACATGGGTATTGCTTTTAAGTTCTTTTACTGCCATGCCACCTTCTCAAAATCAGACAAAGCAAATTTTTCATGTGGTCATAACAGTTGATGTCATGTTTTGATTTTACAGAGCAAGAAGATGCAGCAGTTGTACATTCTGATTTTCCTTAGCTTATGCTTATATGCTGCATAGGAGATTTACAAGCTATCGAAGACAATCAAAAGCAGCAACAATTTAAAGGGATATTAGTGAGTTAGCTGTAGCTTTCACCTTTACATCCAGTAGCACACTTACAGGTTTATTGTGTGAAATTAGAAACTGCACTGCTTTCTACATGCAACCACTGTGCACAAAGGACACCGCTAAAGTCAAGTTCTTACACACTTCCTCTCTGACCTTGGAAAAAATAAGTATAATTAAGATTCTTTCTACACAGTGGAATCCATTACTGACCACATCGACTAGTATATGATGAGAATAGCTCCATTAACATCTACCAAATACGTCTAACTGAAAACCATTAATACTTTATGAACGTTTATGATTTTAAAAAAATCAGAAAGTAAAAAGGGAACTTTCCCAACAAGCAAGTGTCTGTCATCACCTTGAACTAACTTGTTTGCTCTGTTCACCACCTGCCAGAGACTGGCTGGCCTTCTAGTTCAAGCAAGATCTCACTCACTCTGCGAGTGCAATAAACAAAGTCTTGTTTACTCTCAAGGAAACTGAGCAGCTTCTGGAATTAAAGACATCCAGCACAGAAGAAGAGGCTCATACCAGCAAGCTACTTTATAACAACAAAAAAAAAACCCAAACCAACATAAAAAGTAAATTGTGTGAAATTCTCTTCTGTCAGGTAACAAAATTATTTGTTGCAGACACAGGTCATCTTTCTTTTGCCATTCTAACTTATATTCCTTTGGGAACAGCAACCACATTATTGCCTATCACCTCGTTTAAAAACGGGCTTCTAAATATTAGGTCTTTGTATATGACCACCCTCATGCCACAGTGACACATCACCTCACTAAACCAAGTACCTTTCAAAAGTGATTGAAGTGCCCCCTACTTGCACACCTAAACTGAATGGAAAAATCCACTACCAAAGAGCAGGAGTGAGACCAGATGACTTAATGTATGCAATAATTCATTTCTGTGTATGCAATAGTTTATTTCTAAACTAAATTTCAAAACAGAACCTTTGCCATGTAATGTATTCATCTTTCCATATAAACTGTTACTTTTTATGTCCTGAGCTCCTGCAGAGTGAATAATTATTGTTTTATGTTTGAGGTTTTCTGTCCTTCAAGGCATCCTTTTTATTATAAAGATTATGTGCAGGCAACCCACTTTTATGCAAGAAGATTTAAAGTAGCCTTTCACCTTAAAGCAAAGTCTGTCTGTCCTGGAGGGTTCTCAACAGAAACTAAACAGTGTTATTAAACCAGCAATTTTATTCAATTGTTTGTTTTAATTCCAGTGTTGTTGGCAGCTTTCTAAGCTTTCTCAGGAGACATCTGATTTCATGACAAACAGTTTGCTGTCTGGATCTGGAAAATTACCTGACTGTCCACTACACTGGGAGTACTTTACTTCCTTCTTTTAACGCGCTATGGCCAAGCTCTCGTGAAGCAGTATCCTCTGTTGCAAAGTTAGAAGCTGTCGTTCCGTTTGTCCATTTTTCCTACACATACATTCCACAAATTGTTCTTTTTTAGGTAAGGTTTGCGTAATCACATGATTTTAAATATCACACCGGCACCTCGGTGCCGGGCCCTGCCACGTCCCTCTAAGGCCAGACAGAGCTGATGCGGAACCTAGAAGCTGAAGCTGAAGCTTAGGACCAGCGGCCCTCGGCGGCCCGTCACAGAACCGGGGGAGCCCCGCTCGGCGGCGCGGGACAACCGGCGGAACGACTGCGAGCGCCGAGCCCCGATGAGGAGCCCTGAGCGCCCCGAGAGCCGCCGCTGCCGCCGCCTCGGGCACGGCACGGACCCCCGCGCTCCCCACTGGGCGCTGTCCCGACCCGTCCCGGCGGACACTCACATCCGCGAGGGGAAGATCTCGATGCGGTCCTTGGCCGACATGGCTGCGGCGGGGCCGGCTCGGGCTGTCTCCGCTGCCACCGCCGGGACCGGGACCGGCCGCCGCCACCGCCCTCACGTGACTCGGCCCCGCCCCGCGCGAGGCGGTGTCCGCGCGGCGCCGGGAGCGCCGCTCGCGGTCACGTGTCTGCCGGGGCGGGCAGGAGGAGACGCGATTGGCTGAGCCCGAGGCTCCGGCCGCCCGCCGCCAGGGGGCGCTCGAGGGGATCGCGGCCGCTCTCTCCTCCTCGGCGTCGCGGCGCCTGCGCAGTGGGGCGGCGGCGGGGCGCACGCGGCGGCACGAGCGGAGCCAGCGCGGGACTGCGGGGCGCGAGCGCAGCGCGAGACCGCCCGGGCCGCAGCCAGGTACCGCCGCGCGCGCCGGCTCGCGGCCCGGCCCTCGCGCGGGGCCCGCGGCCGGGGGGGGCCGCGCCCCTGCCCGCGCCGCGCCCCTGCCCGCGCCGCGTCGGCCGTGGGCAGCGCCCGTGCCGGCGGCGCCGCTCGGGACTGGCTCCGTTTCCGCGGACGTTGTGCGGCCGAGAGGGCCTCGGCTGAGGCCTGTACAGCCTCAGGAAAAGCCTCTGAATTGCAGCTTCCGCGCGGTGGGCCTAGTGTTGCTCCTGGGGACCAGAAGGCCAAAATAAAAACCTTGTGGCTGTGGAGAGAGGAGCGGAGTGGCGTTTGTCCGCTCTTGCTCGCTGTGGCTCGGGTTTGTCGCTTTGCAGTTCGGCTTTCTGGTGTACCCCAGAAGTACCTGCAGGATTGAGCAGAGCTGCATTCAGTAGACTAGAAGGACGGACTGTAAAGTTTTCCTTTTTAACCTTGGAGTTCTTTGTTCAGCTTCAGCTTACACAAGTTATACAAAACATTCAGAGTGTTTTTATAATGTTTTACTCGTCTGTATTTCCCCTTTCTACAAGTTAAGAATGAAAATAAGGGTGGAAATGGTCTTCTTAATTGTATGGACATGTGTACATAGCATTTGTCATTACCTTCCTACTCTGATTTTATATTTTCTTATAGCTAGGAAGCATGAGCACTGCTGTAAAGATCATGACTTAAAACTGGTGACTAAAATCTTCTGAAGGAGTGAAGCATTTGACTTGGCATCTTGGGCTGCTGCTAGAAAAATTTCCTGTAGAAAATTTTCTGTGTGAAACTTCAAGGCATAGACAACTGAACTAACCTAGACTAAACTTAGACGTTCAAAAGCATATGGATTCATTATAAAAAAATAAAGACGTTTAAGCATTCCGTCTTACCACTGCTTGATAATGAAATATTGCTTTTGCCTTTTTTTTTTTTTTTTTTTTTAATGTATAATGAAGGAATTCTGTTTTTTTCATGTGACTTTGTTGGGTTTTTTCCCCTCCTGACTGGTGGGGGGCACTTTTTTGCCTTTTCAGTACTTCAGTCCAGGCTAGTTCTGTTCTGATTAATGCCTTTGCTTTCTTTGCTGACAGTTTGCCTTTGGAACAGGTCTTGCAGGATTACTCTGAACATCTTGTGTTGAGTTTAAAAGTCATCTAGAGTCTGCTTTTCCTCAGTACTACAGAAACTTCCATCTTGCCTCTTACTTTGTTAGCTTCACATGCTGTCTTATGTGCATACAAAATGCTTCATGAGCACTGCATGCTTCTCTCTTATGTCCTCTTGCTCTTACAGTCCAGTTGATGATCCTTGAGAGTCCCTTCCAACTCAGAATATTCTCTGTGAAAATGTTACACTCTGATGACCTTACATGGATGTGAGGTGTGCAGTGCCACCTTTCCACCACTCGAAGAAGCGTTTCCAGTGTTCTGTGTATAGGCAGTATGACAGGTTAAGTGTGTAATGAAGTCTGGGTAGCAAAGCTTTTTCTCCATTAATGCAAAAAAATAGCATCTTAGGAAATGGTTGTGGTAATAGTATTTGAAATTCAAGATAATTTATTACTTAATTTCTACTAAAACCTAAGCGCAACCTTATCCTAATTGCTACTTTTTCTGCTACTGTTCCTCTCTATTGCCCCCCCGTCCTTGCTGGTCTATTGCCGTGTTTGTAGGAGGAGGCAGTGATGTACTGTGAAATAAAACCTTTGGTTTTTCTGCTTGAATTCCAGAATGCCGGGACTAAGCTGTAGATTCTACCAACATAAATTCCCCGAGGTGGAAGATGTAGTGATGGTCAACGTTCGGTCCATTGCTGAAATGGGGGCCTATGTCAGCCTGCTGGAGTACAACAACATCGAAGGCATGATCCTCCTCAGCGAGCTGTCCAGGAGACGCATCCGGTCCATAAACAAACTCATCCGCATCGGCAGGAACGAGTGTGTCGTGGTCATAAGAGTTGACAAAGAGAAAGGTATCTGGGCCTGTGGTGGGCTCTATCAAGATTGAATTTGTCGACAGAAATGCAGATGAACTAAGCAGGTGTTTGTGGGTTTTGCTAGGACTACTTCTTTTTGAGCATTGAAGTAAAATAGACCATCACTGACCATACCTATGATTGTTCTTCTATTCCTCTTTGTTCTTTGGGAATTGGGTTAATGAAAGCAAATCACATCAGTAAAAATGTAAGTGGGTCCTCACCAGATCACTCACTGCACTATAGTGAAGTGAAATTTTCTTTTGATATCTGTGTAGATTTTCTAAGTCAGCTGAAGAGAAGCATCATTTGCTGTAGATTCCTAGATGCTAAGCATTTAGTGCTGGCAATCCATCCTGTTTGTTAACAAGTCTCAAACCTTGTTGATAAAGGTGATGACAAGTATGTAATCATTGTGAATTCTGTAGGGAAAAGTTAGAATTGTACAGGTAGTTTTGGTTTTCCTGTCTTTTGAACATTTGAATCTTTGAAGGTTTTTTAAATGTAATTCCTATTGAGAAAATTTCAGATTTTGATAATGCTGTTCCATGCAATCTCTAAAATCTCTGTCCAGCTGTACAGAAATAATAAACACTGAGCATGTCTCCTAGAAATATTACTGTTGGTATGATGTTTCTCAAGTTAAATGCTCTTTTAGAATACTTCTGAGACTGCAGTTAACTCTGAGAATAAATAATGAATGACAGGATAAGGAAAAGCAGAGACAAAAGAAGGGCAAGAATAAACTTATTACAGATAAATCTGAAGTGAAATAAGTTTCCCAACATCTCTAATGAAATTATACTTTTACTAATTAATCTTGTTTTCATATTAACAGAGAAACACATCTGGAATTCATCTAGTGGTCTTTTATTGAACTTATTGGAGAATGTATATTTTGTGAGAAATAGGTGGAGGCCTTTTATAATTTAGAAGAGAGTTCAAAAGAAATTTTTTCATGGGCATTTCTTTCAGGCTGACCCTATTTTATTAGGAGACTGTTCAGAGCTAAAGTGATGAGGTGCTAGACTTGAATTAAATTGTGTTGAGGACTAGAAAAATATGCCTTAAATTTGCTTCTTTGTATGCTGGAATGATTTTTTTTTTTTTGCCTTGAACTGTGTACAGAAACATAAAAATAGATCAGTAGTTGCTGAGATAAAATTTGCTACTTTAAGGATTTACAGTAGAAAGATTTTTTTTAATCCTAATTTAGATCATAATTTGCTTAAATTCATCAAGGTTTGAGCTTGTTTCTCTCTGTAGCAAAATATGAGGATATTGTAGGCAGGGGGAAATCCTGAGCCAGAGTGTTTGTTCTTGAGTTTCTCTTGAAGGAGTCAGACTTAGATTGCACAATGTCTGACATTTTTAAAATCATCTCACCCAATAGGTTATATTGATTTGTCAAAAAGAAGAGTTTCTCCAGAGGAGGCAATCAAATGTGAAGACAAATTCACAAAATCAAAGACTGTAAGTTGCCTTTCTATATTTAGGCCCTGTGTATTTCCAGCTTTTTCCTTGAGCAACCAAAATTCCCAGACATAGATAAAAGTAAAGCATTCAGGTATCAGACATATTTGGATTCTCATTTACCCATGCAAAGATATATAACCAGCTTATGTATCTATGAGTGTTACATGGTAATCTGCTTATTAAATGATTAATAGATCAAGAAAGGTGTCAGTTGAGAACTTATGATGTAAAAGAGTATATTTAAATCATGGGAAATCCAAAAGTATGTGCTGGTTGAGCACACTGTGGGCAACTTTTTATTGAAAAGATGTGCAGGTAGTTTCAGGCTTCCATCCTTACTGCTGTGTTGGCTTAACACTTCCAAGTAGAAACTTTTCTCTGCTTTCAGTATTTGGTTTGGGATTTTTACCACTCTGATGTTGCAGGTTTACAGCATCCTTCGCCACGTTGCTGAAGTCTTGGAGTACACTAAGGATGAGCAACTGGAGAGCCTGTTCCAGAGAACTGCCTGGGTGTTTGATGACAAGTACAAAAGACCTGGATATGGTGCTTATGATGCATTCAAGCATGCAGTCTCGTAAGGACTTTTTCTATGCTTCTAGAGGCTTATTTCAAATTGCAGACAAGTATTTCCTGAAGTAGAACTGTCACCACGTTATTTTGGGTTGTATCACTGTGTTTTTTTCCCAGAATCAGTATGAAGAATATACTGGTCAAGTAAATCTAGTAAATTTTAACATCAGTCTAATAGAGGAAGAACCACTGGTCTTTGTTTGTCTGTCAGAATTTTCCTGGTTTTAGTCCCAGGCAGAGTTTATCAGAAATATCTAGCTTTATGTCCAAGACATTTCACTCAGAGCTGATTGTCCCTCTTCCATTGCACAGGCAGCTTTTTTCTTTTTTTAAATGCAACAAGCTGACTTGCTACTTCTCTCCACTTCTGAACTTGAAGAATGGGATCATAAACTTAGAAATGGAATTATGAGCAGAAAGGTGGATATTGTGATGCTGAGGAAATATGCACTGAGATAGATACCTTTTAGTTTTTAACAGAGTTTGATATTTTAATTTGCTTTCAGAATCAAAATATTTGGTTTCCCTCTACAGAATCTGCCATGAAATTGTCAATCCTAAACTGGATTTCTCAGTAAACATTTTCAGTTTTGTTCTTTCATCGCACCTGAGTGTGTGAGTGATGAACGGGAGGTGAACGCTGGATGGCAGTAATAATGCTTTTAGAAACGGCAGTCAGGGCACTCGGTAGTGTTTTGAGTAGCTGAAAACCAGCTCTGCGTTCGGGGAAAGAAACAGCTTGTGTCCTTGTTTAGAATTAATGTGTTTTGTTTCATGTTGTAATGATTATTTTCTGGTGATAGCAAATTTACTGGTAAAGGGCAAATCTGGACATATTGCTGTAAAAGGAATTCTAGGTCACTCTTAACTGATAAATACTTAGTTACACACCTGTATAATAGAAGTTTTTAATAAAACACCTCTAGTCACTCTGGCTCTTTTAACTTCAGTTGTATACTCATGAAAACTCCTGAGCACAGGCCTTTTGTTCCTCACTCACTATTCAGTTTGGAGCACAAACTTCTAGAGTGGTCTGTTCTCAAAACATCTTCCCATCAGTAATGGCTTAAGATTTCTGACTGTGGGCTGCAACCTTTATTTGTTCCTGTTGTGCTTCTTCATAAACGTGTAGCAGTGGAGTAGAACAATGTGGATATTGCTGCCTTCCTATTTTTGCTAGAATGCTGTGTGAGGTTTAGAATTCCCTCTAAGAATTTGGCTTGTTATTCCTTTCTTTGTACTGAGAATTAGTGTTTTGGAGTTTTACACAGCTTGATACCTGTAGCAGAAATTGGACAGTACATTTACCTTCTAATCAGTAAAAATTAAACATTGGGGATGTGTTGTTCAAAGCCTAGCAAATGATTTAAAAGGATAGTTTGGAAATAAAGCAGAATTTGTATGTACCATAAATCACTTCTGCCCTACAGGTTTATATTTTGATCTGTAAAACCTGTCATGTTTCTGGGTTCTGTTTGCTTGTTTGGCCCTTCTACTCTCTATTCTTAGCATACAAATGCATGAAAGATGATGTTTTGTTGGCAGCAGAAACCAATCTCTAGTACTACCTCTGGCTTTTAAGCAATTTTATTTCATATTTGCCTGCTGGTAGCATTGTAGGTGATCTGTTATTTTTTTCTCAGAAAAGTGCAACTTTAGTCTCTGCAGAGCAGGAATTGTTTTTGTGAGGAGTTTTTTGCTTATGTTCTCTATTTCAGATAGATTTGGGATAAATTTAACACAGCAATAGAAAATTGACACCACTTCTTTTAAAAAGAGCTGCAAATTTATATTGGTAATCAGCAGAGGAGTTTGCTTCTGTGATCTCTGAGTTTGAAACTATTATCTTAGGATTTTAAAAGCCTTTATCCTTGCTTTAGCTGAGTCTGTAGCCAGCAGATAAGTATTTGTCTGTGATCCAGGTACTGTTAAAAACAAGTACCAAATAAGCAAATAAATAATGGAATGAATGTGGGTTACTTTGTAGAATGACAAGTATCTTGTGTTTGAATGAAACATTAAAATAATTTTAAAACTCCAGATTCATAATGGATTTGCTTTTATGTGGTATGAGTTTATCTTCACGTTGAAGGAAATACAAAAATATCAAGAAGCTGGATACTTGTCACATTCAATTTATCTCATATAGAGGGAGCAGGAGAAAAGCCATTCTTTCACTTAAAAAAAAAAAATTAATAATTCAGATTATTCCTTCCAGGAACAGATTGAGTAAACGGCTGTGTTTACCAATAGAAAATGCTTTGAAAATAGATGTGTTCATTTTCTTGCAGTGTTTCAATGGGTTCTTAAGAAATTTCCCTGTTTTCTTTGCCTAGTAGGTATCTAGGATTATGCTAAGAAATATAAATAATACCAGAAGTTTCTGTTGTGTTGAATTCCTCTTCAGTATAACTTCTGTAATGTTGCTTTGCTTGGCTCAGAGACCCTGCAATCCTGGATAGCCTGGATCTGACAGAGGAAGAGAGGCGTGTATTGATTGACAATATTAACAGACGTCTGACACCACAGGCAGTCAAAATCCGAGCTGGTGAGTTCTTCCCACATGCTCCTTGAACCCATCTTTATGCTTAGGTTGAGATAGTGTATCTTGTTGCAAACTGTAAACTCAGTTAAAACTAATGGTTCATAATACTGATATTTGAATGGAGTTGTTCAGAATTAAGACACCTTAATAAAGGGTTCTGTCCCAAAGTGCAAGGTGGTTTGGCTTTTATTTTTCCTCCCAAAGTGCAGATTCCTTGGAACACGGACTGGTTGTCATGATAGATAATGGGGTCTGTCATATTGCATTGGCACACAATGAAACTAAATATTTTATAGTTATTACTGTATCTACAAAATTCTTTTTCATTATTCAGAGTTTTAAATTCATTGATTCCCTGACAGGATAATTGAACTCTGTCAGCACAGCTACAGCATGCACCTTAGTCACTTGTTCATAAACATGTGAAAATAGTATTTCTAACAGGTTGATTGCAAACCATTCAGTAGAATGTATCAGCTCAAGCCTAGCATGTCTCTAATGTATGAGCTGGTTTGTCTCTTACTAATTTAGCGTGGGCAGAAAAAGCACATGACTGCACAACTTCAGAAGACATACTTCAAAACTGTAAATCTGTCTCTACAGAACAGCCTAAAGGCATGCTTGCCATTAAACAGATCCTGTAGCCAAATCACATTTTTTACTAGATTGAGAAATTGCCTCTGCTCTGCAAGTGTATATTGAAGAGTATTAACACTTGCTGATTACTGTGGAGAGAAGAAATAAGCCTTTTCCACTCTGAAATCAAGAAAAGAGTACAAAAAGTAAGGTAATACAAAATTCCTCTACCTATTGCTTTAGAATGTCAGGAGTTAACATAGAATTCAAAAATTTGATTGCCATGAAGAGTGCATTTACTGACATGAATAGTACTTCATCACTTTTGAAAATAAAGAGCATGTCTTCTTACTTCCTTCATGCTGCCTTTTTAGTTCTGGTGGTATAAGTCATTAATTTTGTCATCAGCACAAGTATAGAATCTTGCCATTGGCTTGTTTTCTCACCCTGAGGTTGACTGGGATGTTCCTCTGTGAATTTGTTCCTGATAGTTCAGAATTAGCAGATTTGCATGAGTCAACCTGGAAGTGAAACCAAGTTCTTTGTGTAGCTTAGTCTTGTGCCATTGCTATGCAGGTAAAGAAATCTTTGTCTTTACACTGATCAGGGTATTACAAATACAGCCAATATTACTTTATGCCTTGATTTTCAAATACCTACAAAAGGCTATAGCTAACTATAATTCTAACCATAAGTTAACCTTATAAAAATGTATTTTAATGCTCCTCAAGTGATGCCTCTGTGCCTCTGTTGTAATTGCTGATGGAATTCCATAACTTTGTGGATGTGCTCCTTTTCAAGTTTTACTTTTCCTGATTTTGCCTTTTCTCTGATATTTATTGCTTTTATATCTTCATCTCTCTATGTGAAATACATAATTATTGGTGTTATATTTGTTGGATGAGAAGTGAGTGAATATGAGTGTATTATTTCGTATCCCAGCTTTCTGAAATGCAAAGTAAAATGTTTCATTGTCTAAAGAATTTATAAAGACTCTTACATTAACTTAAAAGTCAAGCAAATGTAATACCTTCCTCAGATTTGGGAGTTACTGCGGCTCTCATTGTGGGTAAACATTGGTTGCTAAAAAGATCTATTAAAGCTTAAGTTAAAAAGCTTTTAATATTTTGCAGCTCTTGGTAAAATTTTATTATTTGTATTTCTCTGTCACAGATATTGAGGTGGCGTGTTATGGTTATGAAGGCATAGATGCAGTAAAAGAAGCTTTGAGAGCAGGCTTGAACTGTTCCACGGAGAACATGCCCATCAAAGTGAGTGTCAGTCTTAATAATGGAATCTAAAGCAAAGTTTTCTGATGCCGTCAGGGACCAGTAGTGTGCAATTGCTCTGCTCTTCAAGCCATGTGCCTGATTTCCAGCTCTTCTCTGGCAGGGCTGAGACACTTCTTCAGCTATGTGCTGGCAGTCCTTTTGTGGTTGTGCAGTGCCTTTCAAAGTTTGGGAAGCTGTATTTATTCTGTTTAATTTATTAAATTCTAGTATTGGCACAGAACATACCCACTGTTCCTTAATGCAGCCCTAACTAGGGAGCAATAAATTTTATTTTCAGGTATAAGGTTGTATAAGAAAAAGAAAATTTGCTACACTGACATTTGAGTGTTGGTAGAATGACTGCTGTACCCAGACCTAGTTTTTCTTCCCCAACAGTTTTTGGATGTTAAGTGAGCTACTGAATAAGTGTCTTTAAAAAAACTTGGAAGTACTTTTTCCTTTGAAAATTACTTTTTATAATGGTCTCTTGTAATAAAAGAAATTGCTTAATTATTCAGTCATCATAAAGAAAACATATGGATTTTAATGCTTTTAATTTTTAGTCTAACTAGGCATAATATCTCTTCCTTTGTTACTGAATTTGCTTTTTCCCCCAATCTTTACAATGTGGTAGATTAATCTGATAGCCCCTCCTCGTTATGTGATGACTACTACAACACTGGAGAGAACCGAAGGACTGTCTGTTCTGAATCAAGCCATGGCAGTAATTAAAGAAAAAATTGAGGAGAAGAGAGGGGTCTTTAATGTGCAGATGGAGGTAAGAAAAAATAACATTCTAAAATACAACTTTTTTCCTTGCAATACTTCTAAAGTAGAGCAAGATCTGTAGTGCTACAAGAAATCATGGCAAAAAGTGTTGCTAAGTTATTACAAAAACCGGAAAATTCAGAATCCCTCTGTTCCTGAAATAAACAAAAGACCAGAAAATCTAATTTTCCTGGGTTCTATTGTGTGACTTCAGGACATATTTTATCTTTTGCTCTTTATGTAGAATCAGAGTCTACAAATCAGGTGACCTTTCTTTATGACAGTTTGCCATGTGTTCTGGTTTGGTATTTTTCAGCCTAAGGTGGTCACTGACACAGACGAGACTGAGCTTGCAAGGCAGTTGGAAAGACTGGAGAGGGAAAATGCTGAAGTGGATGGGGATGATGATGCCGAGGAAATGGAAGCCAAAACAGAAGACTAAATGTTCTGGAATACTTAGAAGAGAGACCATATGAAAAATTAGAATCCCCATTGCAAACACTCGGGACTAAATGATTCCAGTATTGAAAACTCCAAAAGCAAATATAGGAAGTGTTTCCCTGCTTTAAAAAGACCAAAATGTAAAAGGCTCTTCTAAATAACATTTGGTGCAGCAACTTACACAAATTGAACCCTTTGAAAGGAAGGTGCCTAGTCAAATTCAAGACACAGATCTGGCCAGATGGAGTTTACAGCCCCATACTTAACACTTTCATACATAACAATTCCTAATTGGTGATTGCAGCTCAGTGCATCTGTTCATGATTTTTCGTGGGAGCAGCAAAACCAAGCAAGTGGAACAGTTCTATACAGAATGTATTTGAGCAAATATTCAATAAATTTCTGGGCTATGTAACTCCAAGGTTTTGGGTGTTTTCCTCCTCTTTTGCACATGGCCTAGATTGGTGTGAATATAAAACCTGGAACAGTATGATCAGTAGGTGACTCCTTTTTAACTTTGAAAGGGCTTTCTTTTCTTTGCTTTAAAGCAAGCTGAGAATGAGTGGAACAAAACGTTTAACGTTAATGTTTTCCTTGCAAGTTTGTTTATGCAGACTTGTTTAAGTTAACATTTCCTTTGTTTATCATCTGCATTTAGGGACCAAGAACTTGAAAACTTTGAAAATAGCTTGTTTCCATTCCAATAAACATAGCTAATAAATGAAAAACTACTTATAGTTGCACTTTGCTCTGATGGGTGAATATAGTAGGAGCTTTAATGAACTTACATAGTTCAAAATGGGCAGCCACTGTCTGTGAGCTCACTGCAACATGACCTTCACTTCTGCCTACCCTGTAACCCATTTAAACTGAACTGAGATACTGACTCTAAAAAAAACCTGTTTATCTTCTCTGAAGAAGAGAAACAAGATGTGTTTTCTAAATTGCAGTTAAAAAAAAAAAAATCCTGTTTTCCTTGTCAGTGGGAATTGAGGGGAAATAGTTGTGCTTTTTAAGTAACCTTTCCAACTTGCTAGATTTCTAAATATGTTGGGTTGTTTTTTTTTTGTCACTGTCATGTCCCGTACTGCCTATTTTTTTTCTTAATACTTTGTTACGCTAGAGGGAAAATGCATGAAGAATGAGGCTTTGAGCCTTAACTAGTCATTCTTATGACTAGTATAAACGATCTACTTGCTACATGGTGTTGCCACAAAAGGCATTCTAAAAGGGCATACTTATGCAATGTGTTGCTTGTCCATGCTGGGGTGTCAGAGAAGTTCACGTGTACCCAACTCTGATAGTAATGCAAAGCCAAAAAAGGTAAATAACTTTCAGTCTTTACAGATTGTTGGAAAATACTTGAATGTGCAAATTTGCAAAATGAAGAAAAATATATTTTTAATAGTTTTCTCAAATTGTCTTTTCACCAGCTGTGCCCATTCACTAAAATAGTCATTTGACTTCTGTTAAACACAATAGGTGGGTACTTGGAGTAAAGAACAAAGTATCTTAAAACTCTGTCACCATGTGGTCTCCATGCCATATAATAACTCTGTCCTGAAGGGATTACAATTAGTGTAATCTGTGAGAGCTGTTTTGGTATGTTAATTGGTGAGCATTGTTTCTGTCAGTAACTTAGAAGTTTGTTAACTTTCTTCAGTAGCTACCAGAACATTTTTAATCAGAGGTGGAATGTGCTGGTGGGTAAAAGTCTGAGTCGGTTCTGGGTGCCTGAAAAATATTACCAAGATGGTGAGGATGATAGCAAAGCAGGTTCAGATAAATACATTCCAATCACTTGTCATCCTGCAGAAAAAAAAAAAAAATCAGGCTCTCCCAGTTTGTTCTCTTAAGCCTATTTCAACCAAGAACAAATAAAAGACACAAGACAATGTGATGGATCCTTCTCATGCATTGTAGAAGTGGGAAGGAGGAGGTATAAGATGTATGTTTTGGAGGCCTGTTAGTGAGGGAGTACTGGGGACTTGCTGTACTCCACTACTTAAAGATCTTTAGGAGTGCTGAGCTGATGCCTTGTGTCTCAGCCTGGCTCTTTTCCATTTGTGAAACTGCCTTTTCTTATGACGTAAGGGGGTTTTGTGAATGTCTCTGTTGAGTTTCTAAATCTGGGCAGCACATTCCTGCTGTTCATTAGCTACTGTGCTGTTTGCACAACTGTAATCACAAGGCCAACATCTCCACTTACACTTAACATAGTCAGTGGAAGGGAGTGGGACAGGAATACCTGTGGAGAGGGCTCGGCCTGATGTGTTCACTGTAAGGATCTCAGTTTTACTTTCCTACCCCAAATTGATTTTCTAAGATTGACAGCTTGGAAACAGTTTTACTTATAATATCTGGTAGGGACTTAATGCAAAAATCCAATCTGGTCAGGCACAGAGTGTGGTAGCACACAGACCAGTATCCTGTTTCTAATGAGGGAAAACAGTGTTTTCTAAAAGACAGGTGTCCTGCTGTTGTGGTTTGTCTGGTTTTTAATACAGTGAAAATCCTTGCTGTTTTGTCTCTAGTTTTGGTCTACAGGGTTTTTTTTTAGATGCAGTGGAGCTGGTGTATTGTTCTTCATAGCAGAATCTGCACTTTGATTTTTGAGTGTAGACAGTGAAACAACTGTTTCCAAATACTTCCACCTTTCTGCAGTTAATTTTTAAATTGCTGTTATGTCAATACTTTTGAATACTTGTTGTCTTTCACTTCTATCTAGAAATTCTCATCATGCTTTATTCATCCCTAATCCACTATAGGTACTAATTTGGGAGTGCTGCCCTGGATGGCAAAGTCCTAAGAAGCTGCTTTGAAAACTCTGGTGTCTGTAATGATCCCAGTGCTGTGTGTGACATGATACACGCTGGCCATGGCAGAGCATGGGATGGGGTTTTCCTTTGGGCAGGTTCCCTGAATGAGCTGTGTGAGACTTCTTGAAGGACTGAGTGGGAGGTACCAGCCGGGTCTGCCAGCTGCAACAGCACAGACTGTGCTCAGAGCTGTGGAGGCTGCTCCTCCCTCCCCTGTATCCCTGAGTAGCATCCTGTGGTCTTGAAGGCGGCTCTTTCTGGCCATCCCATTCCAAATTCTACAGCATATAAAGAATTTGGGAGTCACTTTGAAGGCAAGAAAATGTCAAGTACTCAACTGTTCCGTTTTTTTGTTACAATACTACACTGTTGTGGAAAGCACTCTCAAATGGATCGGAGGAAATGGGTACTCTTCAGTGAGTTTTAAGGCCCACAGAAGATTTGGTGTCAGGGTCCCTAGGTTTATACAGATCAAAGCATGTCCTTTTCCACCGGAAGAGTTCAATGCCAGAACTTGCATTCCCAGCCCATGCATGAATAGGACAGCTCAGATCTACTGACTCATTTTATACTACCTGACCCTGAAAGATCTGTGTTTACTCAGCCTCAGGGAGCAATACAGGGGCTGTTTTTCAAATTTGATTAACTACAGAATGAGACAGGGAGAAAGGGGTGTGTCTGTCATAAATATCCAAAGTATTGAAGAAATACTTTTGAGTCGAAGTACTGAAGGAAGTGAAGGCTCTATATAAGAAGTAGTTGATACAAAACCTGTCATTTAATGACCAGCTGTAGCAAGGTTTGCTTCACCTTTCACCAGCAGTTTGACAATAGAATTCTTTGTTGCTAATGTTAATTTTGCCAAGATCTGTCTGCAGGGTTGTGGGTGGTCTGCATGCTGGAGAAAAGGAGCTTGTCAGATCTTCAGTGAGGACTGCTTATGGAGCAATTCTGAGATCACTGTCTGAGCGAGAGCCCCCTGCAAGCTCCTACCTGTCCTCCCTAGCATGAAATAGCACCTTGAATAAATTGCCTGCAGTAACAAGCTGAACAATGTGAAGTCAAACCTCAAATACCAAATGGTGGAACACTGTATTCCTGAAGCTGGTTATATAAAGAGTGCATGTCCATGAAATGCATGCACCAGTAATCTCTCTTGTGAACCTGGACTCAAGTTTTCTTTTTTTTTTTTTTTTCCCTCCAGTATAATTCTGATGTACAAAACATGGTGAGCTGATTTTTTTTTCCTGCTGGCTTTATCGGGGTTTTTTTTTCGAAGATTCTGCTTCTGAATACAGCTTTTATCTACAAATATATATGTGTGTATATATACAGAGATGGCAATTTTTTCAATTGTTATTCAATGGTTATTTTTTCAATTAACAAAAAATTTTAGTTAATTTCTGCTTTATTTATTGCTATAATTATATTTTTTAAATTACAAAAATTTCCATTGATAACTTTGAAAATATTACATACCAGCAGCAAAAAGTACTTTTCCAAGTGTTCTGTTGCTGTACTTACTTTAGGTGGACTGAGGAACAAACATACTGGGATATGACTTACTGAGCCTGTTGCCTGGTAGCTGCCTGCCTTTTCCCAAAAGGCAAAAGGTAGGAACTACATCTGCTTTTGAAATCTCAGCCAGCATGTTTTCTCTTTATACAGAATCAGCTTTTCTAACTTCCAGCAGTGTTTAGTCACCCACTGAAGTCTCATGGCCTCTGCAGGACTCTTCTCTGGCTTGTCTCCAGCACAATATTGGTTTCAATTCTTCAGTGTCTTGCTATCCCTAGCCAAAAGATATAAAAATGTATAAAGAAATTGTTTGTTCCTTTTCCTTGGTGCATGAAAGTGTGCCCCTTGATATTAGAGTCACTTTGTCTTACTGACCTCTGGACTCCACATAGCAACGAGTGCTTTTGTTTATTTGCTCTACTCTACCGTGTATTTCTTATCACAGCCCATAGCTCTGCCCACATACATCACCTTCATTTTAGTGAGAGTTGTGGAATGCTGACAGTACAGCAAAGGCTGTTATTTCTGAACAGCAACACTCTCTGAAATAATACTTCGTATTAAACAGATTTGTCGTGGTGGCTAAAGTCTTCAAAAATACAATAAACATCTAAGATTGTATTTAGACACAAAAGGCACTCTGTTCCAAGGCATTCAGGAGGTACAAGAGGTCACTGCAGTGTTCAAGGATCAGGCTTCTTTACTAAAAACCTACTTATGTAGAGATTTAGGATATTAGGTTGAGAATCTTGGTTTATATACCAAGTGGTCACTGAAAGTAGAGTGGATTCTTAGGTGCTTTGGAGCTTCTTTGGGGAAAAAAAAAGATTAGTGAAAAGTTACTGTAAGATTTGTAAAAGTCTTGTAATCATAATATCCTATATGTTACACTCACAAGTTTTGTTGATCTGTAGAATTCCTGAGAGATGGGTTTGTTAGATGAGAAATTTTAAGTGGTAGTTGTTTAGTCTGAAGTTTTGAGGAATGTGGTTTTAAAATTCTGCTTCCCTCTCTCATGTAATAACTGATTTGTCATTTTCTAGCTGCTTTTATTGGCCAGCTGGCTCGGTGGTGGTTTTTTGCT